TGGAACTAATTACACCGTCAGCCGTAGAGTTACCATCCGATTAACGCTTCAACGATCCCTATGAAACGCTGCCGTCTCTCTTCTAACGGATCGAGATCGGTGCCTAACTGTACACAAGCCGACGCGATACGATAGAGAAAACGACGATCGGCGCTGCTATTGTCCAAATTTTCAGACGAACGCCCGCCGGTGGAAAAAGATCGAAGCGAACGGTTCCCTCGCTATCGATCCAGCTGTTTTTCATCATCAGGTTCGCGGCAAGAAATGCATCGCAACGTTGTCGGGTCTTACAGAAGGGGCAGAGAGAGGTAGAGAAAAATACGGACTGGAGAAGAGAAGTAAAAGAGAGAGAGAGAGAAAATAGAGGATCTCGGAAGCTGTGACTCGGGAATCCAAGACGCTTGGATCACGCTCGACCACATCGGATCCTGTTCACGCTGAGAAAGGATGCGGTGAGGAAGGAATACACACACACACACACACACACACTCTCTCTCTCTCTCTCTCTCTCACCGATTGTCCCTTGTGTCACTTTAGATTTCCGCGTATCGCGGATTATACATCGGCGATCATCTCGCGCGAGTTTCGTGTGGCACGGGTCGATTATTTCTCCAGCCAACTTTTGCTTCCCGGCCGGCTATTAACCGGGGGAAACACGTTAAACTATCGCGGAGCACGCGATTCGTCTACGATTCGACGCAGAGAAGCGCGAAGGGAAGAATCGAACAGCTGAAAGAGAAAAAAAGGACGGTGAAATGGATGAACGCTGGCGATTCAAAGGTTGGCGACAAAAATGGCGGCTTAAGACTCCTAAGAGTTAGGTTAGGTTTAGGTCCAAACTCTTCGTTCGACAACTGTTGATATAGCTATCATTTCCACTCACGAATGTATACAACGTCATTTATGTTTTAGCCATAAATAAGAAAAAAACGAGGTAATTAAACTTTAAATTAAAAGTCTATATTTTTTAGTACCAGTGCTCTTCGTCCATCTTGAAAAAATATTTCCAGTTCTGGAAAATATTCTTTCACTGTTGGCAGATGTTGATAGTATATATAAATATTTTTTAATAAATTTCGCCAGTCTTTGATATCTTTTTTTTTAAAGTTTTCCATCATTCTAATGGACATAAATTATAGTTTATTTTTTTATTTATCACAGAGGCATAAGTTACTCGAAACATCATACAAAACGACGAATTATTTTAAACTGGAAGTCTATATTTTTTAGTACATTTCCAGTGCTCGTCCATCTTGAACTAACAATATTTTCAATTCTGAAAAATTATAGTTTAGTTTGTTATTTATCGCGGAAGCATAAATTACTCGAAACATCAGATAAAGAGATTAGAAGCCTACATTTTCCAGTGGATTGGTGCTTGTCCTAATCTCGAACTAACAATATTTTCAATTCTGGAAAATACTTTTCCAGAGCTGGCAGATGCTGATAGTATATATAAATATTTTTTAGTAAACTTTTGTCAGTCTTTGATATATTTTCTTCACCATTCCAGTGTAATTATAAATTATAATAAATTATAATATATATTATAACATGTTATAATAAATTTTTGTTAATTGTTTTATTTTATTTCATTATTACTTTGTTAATTGTTTTTATTGAATTGTTTTGTTACTTGTAGTGGTTTTATAACTTGTAGTGGAAACTACTTTATCACACAGATGTTGATAGTATATCTTTCAACAAGTTCTGTCAATTTTGAATATCTTTTTCTCAAATTTTCCACCATTCTAGGACATATATATCTATATATACATATATAGTGGACATATAATTTGTTTCGTCATTTGCATAAAAGCACAGATTACTCGAAACGTCGGATAAAATTGTATTTCAGTCAAGTACAGGGTGGCCACTGAAAAACTGAAGAATTTAAAAAGGTCATAACTTGTTCGTTTTCAATCTTCTTTATTTCCTTCTCTTATAGGTTATAGAGCATCCCTTGCAGAACAAAATGGCTGACGTATGACGTCCAGCAAGACGAGCGAAGCTCATCGAGTTTCTCTATTTCAATGTTCAGAGCGATCCACCTAGCGACAACGTGAATCGGAAATTTGGAAAATTGGAATTTATTTTTTATTTAATATCGTTGAGTCTTTCAATGGCCACTCTGTAGGAAGAACTCTAACCTCAATTATCTGGCTACTCGGATATCTCGTCAGGAGATAGTTGGATAATTTTTCAATACTCTAGCCGAGTATCTCATGGCATTAATTACGTCAGCATGCAATAGGCTGCACACGTAGCATATCGGAACAGGCACCGATACAGGCTCTTTCTGCCTGTTCAGCTTGCAAATTGCGTTCCGTTTCATCTCTGCTCGCGGTCTGGCTTGTGCTTGTCCGGATAACTTTCCATCGAGGCTCGTACGTGACAAATTGGGCCACGATTGAGCAACGAAAAGGACGAGAAAAATACTTTCAAGTTCTGTGGGAAATTCGTAGCGCAAGGAGACTCTTAACCAATTCGAGACGAAGAGTTATTTTAAAGGAGAAATTAAAATCTTATTTTCGCAGACACTTTTCGTGTAAATAACACATCGTGCGTGTAATTGGCTCTTCGGAATATTTTTATTACACCACGTGTGTGATGAGAAAAAGGTACAACAGTGAATAAAATTTTAAGAGAACATCATTACAGAGGTAATAAATTAATTAGAAAATTTTTCCTCCAACTTTCTGTGAATATTCTGCCAAACACAATCCGGGATTACCTTCACCAGCGAAATTTTAATCTTCACGCGCGTTTAACCACGATCTCGAAACGGAACCATTTCTTCACTAATTAGTTAATAACTCAGGTTCAAGATCATCACGCACACACGGTGTGTAATTCTCGAACGGGTTAGAATCCTACAGAGGATTAAAAAAAAAAAAAAAAAAAAAAGAAAGAAAGTATCAAGCATCGTTTCATTGTCGAAGCGAATACTTACGGAGCGAGTGTGAGGCTTCCGAGACGACGATTTTCAGAAAGCTCGCGTGCTGGCCTGGCATTTGGGCTACCTGCAACAGAAACGCGACATACTTCGTGTCAGGGCATCTCCTCACCTAGAATTTCGCCGCCGGGCCTATTTCGAGCATCGAAGCATCGCGGTATTGTATTTTAACTAACCCCGGCGAATGGCATGCGCACGATCCAACGTAACTAACGTTATGTATCCAGCAGCGGAAAAAAAAAACCACCGAACTATATAGAGGACATAGGGAATTAATTTTCGAGGGAGGACGGGATTTAAAAAAAAAAAAAAAATCCCATTAACGGAGACCGTGGCTCGGCATTAATGGTCCCTTTTTCAATGGGCAATGGCGTGACACACGGGAGGAAGCGATCTCGCTGGTTGAATAGGTACCTGCTTTCGCAGACAGGTGACACAAACACGTGCAACAGTGTGCAAACGCGTGAGAACCTCGCGGGATAGACCAAGAGAGGGCAATGACTCGTAGAACAGCGCGGATGCGCCCGGCAGACGAATCTCCGGCAGCGAATAGAAACCTTGGCTCGCGTCTTGAAAAAAACGTACCTACGACCGTCTGCCAGAGCGTGAAACCCTCTGCCGCTCGAGATTTCCATTGCCAGGGACCTGTGTGTGTGTTCAACCCTTTGGAGAAGAAACCTATTATGTACATTTCGCGACGCGTCTCTTCTCTTCTCTTCTCTTCTCTTCGCCGCCGTTTCGTACGACACGCTTCTTTTCATCTTCTTCTGTTTCTTTCTTTCTTTTTTTTTTTTTTTTTTTTTTATGTGTAACGCAACAATGCGCTATCCGATAAGAGTGGATATATCGAATGGTATCGCAAGTCGAACCAGAACCAGCCATCTGCGAATTTCCCATCGTGGGTGCACAAATATTTAGCTTGATTGAGAAAGTAAAATGACTGCAGTGGGCAAAGGGCAACTGAAGATTGGGAAAAGGTTCTACGCAGGGGTTGTTTCAAGGTAAAGACAACTGATGATTCAGTTCAAACAAATGGTATTTTAAATAACGGAGGGATATTTGAACATCTTACGCGATAACGTTTAATTGGACGAAACTTTACATTTATGCGGTGACGATGGCGCTAAAATAAGCAGAAATTATTTGAATCAACTTCAAAGTAATAATTCACTGGAAA